GGGGGGGGGGGGGGCAGGCAGCACACGCGCGCCCCATGGCCGCTGGCTCGTCGGCGCCACGGGCGAGGGGGCGTGACGGGTTTTGAGGTGCCAGCGGTAGCAGGGGTCCTACGTATGGCGCGGCACCTGTCAGGCAGTGGGCCCCGCCGCGGACGTTGGCGTGTCGTCAAACGCAGCCGGCCTGCGCTGCGCTGTGCTGCGTGCGGCGTCCTAACTTCTCCCGTGGCGCCGCGTCCGCGTCGATGACGCCACCTTAGGTGCTGAGGGGATACGTGGGCGACCGCGAGGCGCCGCCTGTGTTTGATGGCACGCTGGGCCGTGCGTTTGACATCCTGGGGAAGGGCTACCAGGTGGGTCGTGTGGTGTGAGGACGGGGTTTGGTTTGGGTGGGGTGAGTGCGCAACGGGGCAGGTGCTTGGTTTGGTTGCAAGTGTGCAGGCTGTGAGGACACTGGCGTCTGGCGATTGTCCATGAGTGCGTGTGCGCGTGCAAGCATGCAGGCGGAAGGGCGGGTACGCGTGCTTAATCGGGGTGGTGAAAGTGCTCATGGTTATGCGGACGGGCGACGAGCGTGAGCGCAAGCCTGTATGTGCGCGCCTGCGCGTGTCCGCGCGCCAACACACAACTCACACAAGCGCACATGCCAAGTGTGTGTGTGTATGTGTGTGTATGCGTGCATGCGTGTGTGCGCGTGCGCGTGCGCGCGATTGCGTTGAATTCCTGCCTGAGTATCTGAACCTAGCGCCCGCCGCTCCTCCCACCTGCAGAGGCCCCTGGAGCTTGCCACGCTCCGCCTGCAGAACATGGTCGGGGTATTGTCCAAGTGTGAGCAGAGCCAGAGGCGGTGGCAACCGGCGGCTTGCATGCCCTCCCGTGCGTCTGTCCTGCCGCGCGTGTGCCGCCTGCATCATTGCGAATTAAGTGGAGCCCCAGGGTGTTGATAGTTTTAAACATGTACTGCATGCTTGTCGCCCAAAGCACCAAATTTCAAGCCGCTGTGGACACTGGCACGATGGTGTACTGCATCGCTTGAGGAATTTGTTGCTTGGAGTGTCTGTGAGTGTACCTGCATCAATCCGTGGACGCCTTCCTCGACAGGGGGGGACCTCGCGCCGTCCGAGAAGCGGCTGCTGACTCAGCAGGGCGGCTGCATCGTCTTTGACGGCTGCGACGTCGTCTACAGGTGCAGTGGGGCCGAACCGCTGACTCGGGTGCTGCCCCTTGCATGCAGCTTTGCACGCCACACCGCACACGCCAGCATGTTTCATCGGCTATTTCACCCGTTGCTTGCAGGGGACCCTTTCTTTGCCTGTCACCCACTTGTCGCCCACCACTTGTCACCTTGTCACCAGGCATGCGGACCCCGGGATCCTGAAGTACGCTGATGTGGACGCGGTCGTGCAGGCCGCCACCCAGGCGCCTCGGAAGCTGATCGCCAAGCAGAGAGAATGAGCTGCGAGGTTGATTCACTGCATTTTGTTTTGTATTGCGGTACAATTGGTGCATGATGCGCTTAAATAGCTGCTGTGGTGGAAGTCAGCTGATAATTAAGAATTGTGCCCCAGCTGGCTTGCTGAGCAGGCGGTCGCTTGCGCTGTGCTGCGGCGCTCTGGCAATCTGCCTCACTCGCAGTCCCTGGCTCTGGCACGATGGGCTGGCTGCAAACAATCCTAGCAGCGTATATACCACACAGTTCTTGAGCAATCAACCTGAATGGAGCTCAGCATCAAGCCGCAACAAGTCACAACTGGACGGCGTCCGGTGTGCACGGATGGTCAGCAACACGCAGGCGCTCTACAGACCCAGATAACCCACAGCTCCGGGGCACGGGGAACGAATGCAGAAATGGGGTCCTTGCTTGTCAAAGGTCGTATGATGGTTGATGGGCCTGCTAGGCCTGCCCCCGCCATACGGGACTGCGAGAACGACAACGCACATATAGGCACGGAACCTGAGGAAGTGCGCGCTAGCTGGCTTACTTGCCGCTCACATCAGCGCGCGACCGGCGATGCATCCCGGCCGAATCTGTGCTGCATTGTACCCCCTTCCAGCACGGAATGCCCGCTCTGCGCCTAGAAAAACCCTGAACCCTACACCTTAAACCCTAGTCCGACTACGCTACAATGTGCGACGCAGCGCACGTGTTAGCAAGACTGCGAATGTGGATGCTGAGGCGCAGTATCGTGTCCAGCCGTGCACCGCATACGTTAGCTTGTACGCGTGATTCACTGTGCCCGCCGGCATCCCTCCGCGCCTCTGCATTGCTGATTGCGTGGTCTGCCCGTGGCGGCTGCGTGCGGGCGCTGTGCGGTCCGAGCTGGTCCAGCCGCTTTGGTTTTTGAGGCCCTGGCCCAAACAAGCCCGCCCTGTATCACGGTTTGTGCAGGCGTTGCAGCAGCATGGCAGCACGAGGACAATCCTTGCAGCTGACCTCTGGAGCCTGGAGCAGGACAAGGCAACGCACTTGGTGCGCCCCCCAGTTCTGCCGTCTATAATTGATGCGCAGCCGCCCGGCCTAGAGCTACGCTCACTTTTTGGCTCCTTCCTCTCGGCCCTCCTGTCCTGCCACCTGGATTCCAGACCCTGCTTCCCCCTCCTGCGCGGCCCCCTCCTCCCCGCAGTACCTGTGCCTGAGCCTGCTGAAGGACAGCGCCTCGTCCATCCCCGCGGCCCTCCAGCTCAGCGCACCCATACTGGTATTCCTCAGCCTCGGCCGCCTGGCGCGCGGCAGGTCAAGAGTGCAAGTGTCACGCGCACGACGAGCTCCATGGGAAGGGCCTAGGGGTCACAAACGTCAGACGGTGTTCCAGGTGTCGTCCTGCATCCCGCTGCTGTTGATCGCTAGCCCGCTGGAGAAGCCTCGTGTCATAGTGCTGCGCTGGCTGCCGGGTCACCCATGCACGGCTGCGGCGCAATGGCAGCGCTGGACCATTGGGCATCGCCACCGCCTATATATTGCGTTTTGCTCGAGCGTATCAGCATTCTTGCAGTTACACCCAACCAGGGATACGCCTTTCGTAATCCCAGCCTGGTACCGAAATACGGTACCGGAACGCCATCGATTTCAGCACCAAGACGTGCAATTTCAAGTCGATCAACGGTGAGATTGGCCTATATACATAACACAGCACTGCATAGCCCACTCCATCAACATGCGGCTGACTGCGGTTACGCCGCTGTTGGCCATCTGCGTGCCAAGCGCTGGGTGTGGGCGCCCTTGAAATATGCGCCATTTGTGCTGCCGATAAGCTTACGATACACTGCACAGCAGCGCTTCGGGATACCGTTGCATCGTAGGGCGGCTGCGGCTCGCTGCCCATGCCGTCTCGCCTGGTCCGCTGCCCGCCCCACATCCTCAGCCTGCTGACACAGCTTGCTGAGACCAATACCCACACAACTGAAGTAACACACTGATTGCGTGCCCTCGGCACACCCACCCACCCTGTCGCTATGTTCGTGTGTGTGTGCTGGACCATCACAAATGCACACGGGCTAGTTGTTGACCTGCCATCACCCCTGAATTACAAGTGGTAAAGATCCACCCCAGTCAAACCCACCTTCTGCAGATTTTTCTGGCGCAAGTGCATAGCCCTCATCAACCTTGTCGTCAAACTTTCCCACACCACAATATCCCCCCCCCCTGCAGTCATGCGGCGCATCCTCGTCAGCCTCCTGATGGCGGCCTTCCTCGTGGCGTGCGCCACCGCCGCCTCTGACGAGGCGGCGGCGGGAGCAGGTGAGGGCGGCGTTCAGGGGTTGCAAGACAGAGCCAGCCACCAGCGGGCGGCGTGGGCAGCCCCCAAGCAGACCGCCGTGGCAGGGGCGGCCAGCAAGCAGCCAACCCAGCAGGCGGTGACCTTGCGCACCGCGCCCCTCTTACCACCTTCTGAAAGTTGGCGGTGTCGGCTAACACCGTGAATTGCATCCCCCTGTGCCCTGTTGCCGCGGCCTGCAGCGACAGACACGGCTGCTGACTTCACCGGTGGGTGGTGGGATTCAACTGGGGGGGCTCTCCTTGGGGCCAGCGCTCAGACGTGGTGCTCGGGCGGCCGGGCTGAGGGGGGGGGGGGCAGCGCGACTGTAAAGCGAAAGAATGCAGCACAGATGGACGCTGGAATGCACCAACGGCCGAGTGTTGGGATGGGGCAAGCGCCAGATGCCTCCGCGCAACTCCTCAGGGCGCCTCTCTGTGCAACGTTCTCCGTCTCGCAGCACCGATCTGGCGCAGGCCACGCCCCGGCAACATGGGAGGCCCCATGGGAGGCCCCATGGGAGGCCCCATGGGAGGCCCCATGGGAGGCCCCATGGGAGGCCCCATGGGAGGCCCCATGAGACGCCTTATGGGCGGCCCCATGGGAGGCAACATGGGAGGCAACATGGGAGGCCCCACGGGAGGCCCCATGGGAGGCCCCATGGCAGGCCCCATGGCAGGCCCCATGGCAGGCCCCATGGCAGGCCCCATGGCAGGCCCCATGGCAGGCCCCACGAGAGGCCTTATGGGGGGGCCCATGGGAGGCCCTATGGGAGGCCCCATCTTCAACCCTGGCCTCATCAAGTGCCTACGCGCGCCGTGCCCCCTTACAGGATAGGACAAGACGCCCGCGCGCCACGCCCCACGTGCTGCTTGCGCGCGCCGTGCCTTGCTCGGGGGCCCCTTGCGCCGCAGGCTTGCCGAGCCCCGCGCAGCAAGAGCATCCTGCGCGTGGCCGTTGCCGTCGCCGCACCCCAAAAGCGCACGCCGCCCACTGTTGCGTCACTCTCTTGTTGCCAAGGTCCATCAGAGTTGCTTGCATGCTATTGTGTTGTAACCACCAGTCTGCTGTTTTGAATTGTAGGCCCCTAGACCCGACTGAGGCGCCGAGTGTGTGCGCCGGCGGCAGCTGAGCAGACCAGAAGGAGCGCAGTGGATGTTTACATTGGTAGATTATGTAGGCACGCATGACCAGCCTCAGGTTCAATCGTCAAATGCACGCTTGTTCACAAAGCGTGCCGAGCTGGTAGCTTGACCGGCCACACGCGCCGCTCGCCTGCATCGGCCCCCTGGCGCGCAGCGCCAGCAGGCGGGTGGTGCCACGACCAGCCAGTGCATGTGGGTGCCGCAGCGATTGACTCCGCCGCCCTCCAGTGGGGCAGCATCCTGCGTGCAGGCAAGGTGCTCGTGCGTGGCCCCATGCGACGCCGCCGCTGTCGGTGCTGCTTGTGGCCAGGATCCCTGCCCTGCATCTGCGCGTTGGGCAGCAACGGGAGGCGGGCTGCGCTTCGGAACCTGCAGTTGCCCTCAACACCTCCACGCTCCCTGGAGCGGCGCCGCCAGCCTGGGTGAGGCCCCGCCGAGCTGCCCGCGCCTGCAAGAGCGAGCCGTCAAACGCAGGCTTGACCGTCCTCATGGTTCGACACGGTACGAATGGCATGGTGCTTTACAACGGGGAAAGGCCAGGCAGGAATGTCACAAACTCCAGAAAGTGACAACTCGTACATGGGGATAAGCTGTTGCCTCCCCCCCCTCAATGAGCGCAAGCGCCGCTGAGACGCCTTCTCGCGCAAGCCATAAGCCATGGTCATAACCCCGGCAAACTAGGACCGTAACAAAGGCAGCAGTTTTCACACAAGCGTAAGTAGAACCCCAGTCTTTGAATCCGCCCACACGACATTCCCCATCCTGCCAAATGCTGTGCCTTGCTTGATGCTGCAGCTGCCGCCGCTGTGCTGAGCTCCCCGCGCTGCTGCTCCTGCTGCTGCTGGTGCTGCCTCCTGCTGCTACTCCGCATGCTCCTGCGGCTGCTCCTGCTGCTGCTGCTGCTGCTGCTCCTTCTGCTGCTGTCCCTTGAGGTACGACTTTCGCCTGAACGCCTGCGTGTCCAGCTGATCACGCGCCGCAAAAGGCGAATTGAATGACACCTGTGTGTGCAGATGTGTGTAGATGTGTCTGTATATTTGTGTATGTGTTTGTGTGAGTATGTGCGCGTGTGGTTGGTGCACGCTGTGGTTAAGGCACAGCCGGGTGAGGCCTGTGAGGCGCCTCAGGCCGCAGCCGGGAGGTACGACCGTGGCTGGGAGCCCCGCCCCTCCAGCCGATGATCTAGTCGCCGCGCCTCCGCTGCGAGCGCACGCCGCGCGCTGCTGCTGCTGCTGCTGCTGCTGCTGCTGCTGCTGCTGCTGCTGCTGCTGCTGGGCCCTGCTGTCCTGCTCAGCACGCTATCTGACTCCGCCGTGGCCACCACTCCTCCGCGTGGTGGCCACATCGATAAAGCCGTCGCCTCGCAGACCCATCACAGTCTGCTCCGACCAGAACCCCTGACGCCTCGCCGCCACAAGCCTCACGCCTCGCCTCCCTGCGCAGCTGTGCGGCAGCTGCCGGCCGCAGCGCCCGGGTCCAAACTGCCGCCAGGTCAGACCCCCACCTGGCCGTTCACGCGGTGGCCCTCCCTCAAGCTGTCCAGCCCGGCCTCCTTGAACGACCCCCACTGCTGCCCGTCGCTCCTGCATTTCGAAGTGTGCGGAGGTAACTTTGTTAGTGAGGATGCGGGCTCAAAACGCATCAATGCACGCGCACGCGGGTGCCGCGGCGGCGTGCCCAAGGGGGCGGTGGTGGCATGAGCACCGCTCGCGACGGGCCTGGGGAGACGTGCACTGCGCGCTGCGCGCGAGCACTCATCTCAAGAATGCACATGCTGGCCTGACAAGGCTCCGGTGATAATGCCAGGTCCCATGCAAGCAGCCACGCTGGTGGAGGGCTGCCGCGCAGCAGCCGCCTCACCCCTGCAGCAGCATCGCGGTTGTCGTGATGATGGGGATGGCGATGAGGCCCGCCAGAGTCAGCACCAGCAGGCTGTTGCGGCCGCCCTTGGCCGCGGCCCTGCGGGTTGCAGCGCGGCAGGGCGCGGGGGACGGGCGCTGATTCCAATCGATCGAGCACGGGGCGCAGAGCGCGGGGCGAGCTGCATGGCGGGTTGCGCGCGGCCCAGCTCGGGTCATCAAAGTGTTGCCGTCGCCCGCGTTGACGTTGCCGCACAACCTGGGGAGCATCCGCGTCCCATCCCCACTCCATGGGGGCCAGCAGCTCACTTGTAGAACTTCAGCTCGGTCTCATAGCCACCGTACTTGCCCCAGGGCACGCGCCCATCGACGCTGTTTGCGTGCCAGTACGCCTCTGCGTATTGGGGGTTTGGTGGGGACCCCGGGGGCGGCACGTTGTAGCCGGCGCGGCGGCGCAGAATGGATTCGTAGGCGGCTTTGACCTTTGCAGGGTGTGGGAGAGGGGGCATGAGTGGGGGGCATGGGATGGGCGGCTGCCAACTGGCGTTGAGGAACGACGCCGCCGTGTGGGCATTTTAGGGGATTATGGGAGACAAGCCGCCTCTTGCTTTGTTCGTACACACAGTGCGGTCTGGGCGCCGCTCCGCGCCCCCGCATCACAGACGCGGCAGTCTGCTGGTGCCGCCGCTTCAGCTTCCGTGGGCGCGATCCCCGCAAGGCCCTTCCGGCCGGGGCGGCACGCTGCCAGCCAATAGCGCAGCCGCCGCTGCCATCGCCGCTGCCATTGCAGAGAGCGGCAAGCGCATCGTTGCGGCGGACAACGGCGCTCACCTCTTTGAATTTTGCCTCTGCCGCCGGCCGCTCAAGCTCCGGCGCCTTGTCGGGGTGGTGCTGCCACACCAGCTTCCTGAAGGCCTCCTTCACCTGGCCCATTCGTCAGCAGGCGCCGCGCGGCGGTGATGGGGCTGGCGGCCGGATGCGCTCATGCGCCATGCGGCGCCCAACAACTGACGCCGCTGTCCTGTGGGCGTTCGTTGCGGTGCTCGCGTTGCGCGGCAGCCCTGCCGTTCACCTCATCGTTTGTCGCTGTTGGGGCAAGCCCAAGTGCTGCGTACGCGGCAGCCGCGGGCATGTTGCGCGGGGTAATGGTACAAGTACGCCCGGAAGGTTTGGCTGAGACGTGTTGAAATGACGCGTGTATCATACTTGTATTTCGGGGCTCTCTACGTCACACCACATTGAAGGGGTGACGCTCCAGTGCCCATGATCTGAGGCAATAATTGCTTGATCCCATCGTTCCAGGGCGCATACATAGCAACTTGCGTGGCCCCGATCGCACAGACGTGTGCTTAGGACGGCCACGGGGCGCTCACCTGCGTCCACCAGCATCACAACATGGCGGGAACGCCGGCCTTGGCGCCGCGCCTGACCACATGGCTGCTGGTCCTCCTCCTCGCCTGCTGCGCCAGCGGCGCGGCCGCCATCCAGGCTTCCCGCACGGCGCGCATGGGGCCACGCAGCGGCGGCAGCGGCAGCGGCGGCGCCTCGGGGCGCCGTTACAGTGTGCGGGCAGAGGAGGACCGGGTTGAGGGCCTGCCGGGCGCCCCAGAACCCCAAGGATTCGGGATGTTTGCTGGGTGAGCGCGCACGCGTGTGCTGCTGGAGACCCCTCTAGAATGTGTTGTAGGCGCCACAGGGCGTCCGGTGCGGCTTGAGGCCTGGCCAGACCATGGCGGCGGGCTCGGGCACACACACCAGGCAACCTTTGAACTCACCGCCGCCAGCCGCATGCACACGCCAGCCGCATGGTGGCCACATGCACTCGTCGGCCGCATGCATGCAACGCGTGCATGCTGCCCGCCCCCACTGAGTTCCGCGCCCTCAACGCGCGTGCGCCATTGACGGTCTGATCAACCCCACCCCTGCCCGTGTTCGAATCCCGTTCGCGACAGAAACGTGACAGTGGACGAGGCGGCGGGGCGCGCCCTGTTTTACGTGTTTGTGGAGCGGGTGCACTCCCCTGAGACGGCCCCCGTCATCCTCTGGCTCAACGGGTGGGGATGAGCCATAGGGATGAGTCAAGTGACTAGTGAGATTACCATGAACGCGGTGGCTGTCCAGGGTTTCGCTGCTGCGCGTTTTCTGGGCTGATTTCACTCCGAAACATGTTCAGTTGTCGCCGCCGTGCCGGCAGGCATGTGTGCAGGCAAGTGCGTGTACGTGTGGTTGCCGACGCCGCTGGCCAGCAATTGCGCACCCCTCGAATCGCGGGCCCGCGCCGCCCGCGCGCCCCTCGCCGCCCTGCCCCTCCCCGCCCGGCCAGGCCGCGCCCCGCCCACCACACCCCTGAGCCCCACCACTGCGCCTCACCCCATTTCACAGGGGTCCCGGGTGCTCGTCCCTGGGGGGCGGCTTCATGTCTGAGCTGGGGCCCTACTTCCCCCACCAGCAGGGCAACGCGCTCAAGAGCAACCCCTACGCATGGAACAATGGGCTGGTGGGTTTACGATCTGGTGATCTGGTGATCTGGTGATCTGATGGTCCCATAGCCAGCATCGCGACAGACGGCGGCGTGGAGGGTGGGTGTAGGGGTCCTCCGGGCCCTCCCGCCGCTGCGGCAGCAGACGCGCCTGTGAGGGCGCGGCGCGGCCGAACGGCCGTACGAAGTACTAGAGAGCGAGCCGGGCATATGCAGGCAAAGCAATCGCAAAGGCGGGGCCAGCCAGACCGCTCCCATGCCGTCGGGGCGCCCGCTGCCAATCGCGCCCCCCCCCCTCCCGCCCCCTGCCTGCCG